GCGCAAGGAAGGAGCAGGCTGTGGTTTGGCACAGTGTGCTGGTGATACCCTGCAGCTTTAGGGAGAAGAAGCTGGAGGTTCAGGACAGCTGAATCACAAGGACAGTGTAACACAGAGCAGAAAAGTCATGGGTACTGCACCGGTATTATCAATGTATCATACATAATATGTGGTATCATGGACAGGTGTCATGGTTTAGCCTCAGTTGGTAACTAAGTACCACACAGCTGCTCACTCACCCCAACCCCACCAGGTGGAGGGGAGGAGAACTGGAAAAATAAGGAGGTGCAGCCAGACAGAGGACTAGAGAAAACAAGTTTCCTCCCAACCTATGTTGACAGAAATAGCTGCTTAGACAGACAACTGCCTATTTGTAGTGTAATTATGATCCAAACACACACATTCACAGTAAAAGCAAATCGTAAGTGATCACGATTTGTGTTGTACATAAGTTATTCTAAAACCTAGACTTTAACATGCATTCAGGTCACAAGATGGTTTTGGACTAGAGAACTCACATTTGGCTTACCCTCGTTTGGTGCAGAACATCGTTCATTTCCTAAGGGAGCTACCTCAGTACTGTATGTCATGAAGTCTTGTTCTGATTTGGCATGTAACAGATCTCTAACGTGCTTTTTGCATATCAAGTGTTCTGAGCCCCTCCACCACTTGCCATCACGTCTGTTAAAAATCACGTATCCTTGCAACTTAGGAATGTCATTGTGCACAACATAAAAGTATAGAGAAATGGAAATATTCCTCTCCTGTTCCCGTTAGATACTTAATCCTATTCTCACAGCAGCAAGACAAAGCCTGACTCAATGGAAAGCATTAATTTATACTTTCCATTGGCTGCTTTATAGAGTTCAGAATAGATGTGAGGTGCAGCTGAAAAAGGTTATCAGACAAAATTCAGAGCTTCGGCATCTCTCATGTTTGTGTAAAGCAAAATACAGCTTTAGAATTACAACAGAAATGGCTGGGTATTTTTTTTGTCCATGATTTAAAGAAATTTGTCATACATATGTATTTTCTATTCTTTATATACTTATTGAAATAATTTCAGAATCAAGACAAGAAGTGAATGTTCACAGGATCTGTACTTTTTATCTGTGTCATTAATGGACTGCCTAAAGACATTTAAAATTAATTAATGACCGCCATATCACATTAACCTACAGCAGAAGAAAAAGGCTGCTTTAAAATAAAGCTGCACAAATAATACCAAAAGAAGTTAGCTACAGCATGTAAGCATGAACGTAAACACAGCAGAATCCCAGTAAGAGACAGGCTTAAATAAGTATCATGTTTTGATTCATCAGAATATTCAGAGATCACATACAGGAAAAGTAAATATCAGGAGAGAAATAAGAAATCCAGTGAGCTACAGAGTACAACTCCACTATATGGTCTAGCATTCACAGCCCCAAGCGAAGAATAGTATTTATAGCTGATTACCATTTTTATAATCCCTACATACTTCCTATGCCTATCTAGTGTGTATAGAAAGAAGCAAACTTTAATTGTATTCTTATCCTCAAACTTTGGAAAGAACTTATCTGATTTAAAAAACTGCATACTCTTAATGTGGCTGACAAGGTGAACAGATTTGTCCAGTTCTTAGTGCTCCACACCATCACAAATTTAAAAGATTTTTGGTGCTTCGGGTCTTGTCACTGTTCTTGTGTGTGCCAAAGCTACTTTGGCTGAAAGCTGGAGTTGGGAGTATTTTCTCCTATTTTCTCCTGCCTGGCAAGCTCTCACATCAGCACTTGCAGTTTAACAGAGAAATACCCTGAATATCATGAGGATCATTTCTGTTAATGCTTTGCACTGTAAAGTGCACACATCTTTCTGTGCATCTGAAAGTTTGTTTGTTGTCTCAAATTGCTACAAACCTGACATTAACATTATGGTGGGGGGAAAAAAACTAAACCAAAGAACAGCTGATCTTTAAAATGCAAAGCTTTCAAAAAACACTAACTTCACATAGAGGCACACACTCCAAAATAGATACTAGAATCTTTAATTAAGGAGTTTTCTGTTTCATCCAGCTAATACTAATGGGTCCTTTCACAACCCATTCCTTAAGGACCAGATCTCTCTCCACATGTTGCCTCCCTTAGTGGATACTGTACAGGAACCAGTCTGCCTGCATGTACCTTCTCTGTGCCTGCGGGTTCTGTTCAAAACTCAATCAGTTCCACAGGAATGTCTCGGAATTCCTATATTAGCTACTTAATCACAGTATCTATTTTGAACAGTTTTCCAATAGTGCAGATAGTTTTTCCCTTGACATGCAAAAGATACAAGTTCATTGTGCAAAGCCAAATAAAACAATCTGTCTAGACAACAAAAGTATCATTAAGAATGAAAACAAAGGTAAATGACCAGAACGGTACTTAATTTGAGTATAAATGAACAGCTTGTCCATTATGAACAAAATACTCTGCATTCTCCCTGGATCCTCCTTCTCCTTCTCCCTGGAGGAGAGAAGCAGTTCAAGTCTCAAGTTGTAACTCCTTATAAAGCATACATGAAAAATCACAAGTCATGCAAATACATGAATAAAATAAACAACAGACCTCATTATTGGATTGATAAAGAGCAGATGTGAAGGCAACCTACATACTGGGGATAGCAGCATAAAATTCAAGCAAATAATCTTTGTTGGATTGATGCAGAAGCCAGGGAAAGGCTGCAAGTGCTCATACTAGAAGCAACTATACAGTAAGCTTGCACAGAAGCACAGGATGCTTTGGGTTGTAAGGGACCTTAAAGATCATCAAGTTCCAACCTCCCTGACATTGGCAGAGACACCCTCCACAAGACCTGGTCACTCAAAGTCCAGTCCAGCCTGGCCTTGAGCACTTCCATCCACAACTTCTTTGGGTAACCTGTTTCAGTGTCTCACCATCTTCACAGTAAATAAATTTCTTCCTTACCTCAATCCTCTTTCAGTTTTAAGGCATTACACCTTGTCCTATCACTAACTGCGCTTGTAAAAAGTCCCTCTCCAGCTCTCTTGGAGGAGTCCTTTAAGTACTAAAAGGTTCTATAAGGTCTCCCCAGAGCCTTCTCTTCTCCAGGCTGAACAACCCCAATTCTTTCAGCCTGTCTTCACAGGAGAGCTGTTTCAGCACTCTGATCATCTTCATGGCCTTCTTCTGGACTCATTCCAACAGGTCCATGTCCTATTTTTACTGCATGCCCCAGAGCTGAGCAGAGTACTCAAGGTGATGTCTCATTGGTCTTCCTTTAAAAATGAGGGTTAAATTTCCCTTGTACTCATTCTTTAACTTAGTGAGAGTTTAATTCTATCACAGGCTTTTAAATTTCTTTTAAATACCAAAACGTTTACATTTTGCATTGCTGTGATAGATATCCAACCCTCACAATAGATTAAATGAACTCAACAGAAAAAAACAGAGGAATATTAAAGCTGTTGCAAATGCCAAACTTCTGTCTGGAACGCACATTGGCATGCAGTAAATACAGATATGTACCCTAGATTTACAGATTCTGTGCATTAAGTCCAACAACAGACTTGTAGAATTTCTGCATGGAAAAAAAGATGCCTGAAAGCTCAAATGCCCTAATGTTGATAGGTATGCCCACCATCATTTTCCTTTTTTCAACATACTAGTGCTTGTGCAGCACTTTTCTTTCAATTCATTATCTACCATGAAGCCATGGGCTTACAGTCAAGACGTAATCACATCCTCAATACAAAATGAAGAGAAAATCTTCTTGCCTCATTCAGATCCAATGCAAAACCCACACCAACTTCATAGAAAGCTGAACTGGGCTCAGCACATGCACTGCTGTAGCACTGTGAAGCCCTAAATGTACTAAGCTATGCTTGCTGCTCCCTCTGGACCCAATTCAGCCAGAATCATATCTCTGCAGTCACTTGGGATGAAGTTTTAATTCCCAGCAAGTGGCCTTTAAGCATTCTTGCCCTGCATTAATAAAAAAATAACCTGAAGCTTGAGAGGCTTTTTTCAGCCTCACAGATTCCCCTATGTGGTTCACAGCATGGCCTCATGAACAGTTACTGCAGCACCACTGAAGCAACAGAATTAAAGGAACAACCAACCAGGCAGAAAACTCATCAAGCTATCATTTGGCTAGAATGGTTCCACATGCATTAAGCTAAGTATTTTGCCAAATTTACACCCTTCTCCTGTGTCCTTTTATCAGCAGAAATTACAATGGTTTTATCTGCTTTATCCACGCAGAATTTGAATGCAGATCTTATGCATCTGCAAATGCAGATTTTTAACTGGGATAAAAAATTCACTGTGAATTTAAGAGGAATCTAGATGTAAATAATATCTGTGGCACATTAAATAATGCATTAGTTACAGTTAACTCAGTTACAGTACTTTCTAGTGAAAACTAAAGGCTTTCTCATTTTAAAGCAAATAATTAACTTTAGGTTTTCTGAGTTTCTTGTCTGAAAAAAAGAGTCTATACTACAAAAAACAATCCTCTGTTTACAAAATAGAAATGACTGTAGCAACAGAAGGAGAGCAGAATCCTACCAGAACTAGTACATAACCACATATTAAGCCTCTTGCAGTCCTCCAAAGAGCATGACAAACCAGGTCTAGGCATCCTGTGTGACACTACCAATGTTTAACCTGACAATCTAAGTAGATGGAAGAAAGTTTTGTATCTCAACTTTGCGTTCTAGGCTCTTCTCTATTACTCTTCCTTCTCAAACAAAACTACCTAATTTTCCCTGAGCTCACCATGGCTTTCAGTTATCTGATTTTGCTATTTTGTCTGTCCTGCCCTCCTCTCCTACCCAATGCAAGTAACTGCTTTATAAATAAAAATGGACCTGAAATTGTGTTTATTTAATAAGCAATCAGCCAGACTCACTTCCAGAAGCTTTCTGCAATCTGGTGACTTATTCAGAATATGAGTCCTGCAGTCCAGCCACGACCATTGTGGCTATAACAGGCAAAAAGTAAATTCATCCCAGCTCTTACCTGACCACGGTTGTGAAGACTTAAATCCAGTCCACATGTAAATTCAGTATGATGCTCAACTGTTTCCAGCAAAGGATTAGGCTTGGAAAAGTCCCAGAATCTATAGAGAAAATAAAGGAGGAAAAGAGAAAGAGAGAGAGGAAAAAAAAAATCAAACAAACCACAATTAAAGTAATTGAAAGGCCATTTCAAAAATATAATGCAAGATATTGACAAATCTGTTGCTGCCAGGGTATTTAAAAAAGCAAACTCATCCACTTAGGAAACATAACAAATCATATTCCTGCAAAGCCATCTGCTGATTTGCATAAATTAAACCCCACTGGGTAAAGCCATCTTTGTCTCCTGTTTCAGAAACTGAGATCAAAGTTGGCACTGAGGAGCAGTCATTGGGACACTATCAAAGCAGAGCAAGAAAATTTAGGCTAAAATACTCTTGTTATATTTTTTGAGGGCTGAGGAATTTTAGCTCTGAAAGACATTAGCACAATTTATTATTTTTCTCAGTTTTTGGTATCATTAACTATAGGGTCTTTATTTAAATGAAAAATGACACATTCATTTAGAGATCTCAGTCATTCACATTCTCAAATTTGAGACTGTGTTCCCGTAAAACAGAATTTAATATTATAATATAATAACAAATTTGTACTACAGAGATCAGCTGCATTACAGTTAATTCCACTAGATCGTATTTTAAAAAGCAATTTTTATTTCAAGCCTTGGTTGACAAAAAATGCTTAGAAAATAGACATTCGAGGTGTTCTACTTCTCCCAGCTACTGTCCCATTAGACACAACGTCCATCAATGCAAATAACAGCAAGGATAAGAGAGATGTAAAAGTGGATGGGATGAACACAGAGGTAAAAGACACCTCAGGGGTAAAAAAAAAAGGATTCAGAAATTAGAACTTTCAGATAATAAAACATTGACAATATCCTTATGACGGCACAAATCAAAGATTAGTTCCTCTTTCCTGTGTTGTATATTCTGTTTACAAAAGTCCATAGGCTGCACAGCACAGCGTATTTTGTGGGCTGGCAGCTGTAATCGAATTTTCTACAGTTCAAATTTTCACACAGGGGTCAATTATATGCTTTACTACTTCTGTAACAATCACAGAGGTCTCTTTGCCTTGATCTTATTAGGGAAAGTGAAAATACTGAACAAGAACAGCTCATTATCAGACCAACTATACTGAAAGAACTGTAAGTTCAAACCAATTCAAGTAAAATAGCAAACACTGGAGCCAGCAGGGTCAGTTTGTTTAATATGCAGATGTTACTTCCTTCATAAACAAGGAGAGTGGTATCAGCACAATGGTTTTGCCATAGCAACAACCCTCTTAATTTTTTCCTAGCACCTGAGATCTAAGATAAACAACTTATTTTGCAGGAGAGAGGAGCAAAATACCATCTCAGCATTTTCATTGTCTCACATTTGTTCCTGAGAAGGTAAAGAAACGAGTCTTGCTGTTTCTAAGTAATAGTGGTTAGCCTTCCTTATCACACTAGCTCTCTACTAAGTCTTGAAAGACAGATGCTCCTAACTGAAAACTAAGAATAAAGGAGATAACTTCAGATCTACATGAATAAAACCTTAGAAAAGACTTTTAAAAATAGTAGGACAACATGGTGTTTGTTCTATAAAGCCATGTTGTAGAAAGTCAGAAGCAGTTTAAGAGTACTACAACTCAGTTGCAGACTGACTGGGAGCTTTGGGGTTTTTTTTAATATAAAAATAATTACTAGCTAAAGCTCAAAAAAATGTTCAGTCTCAGGACTGAAAATCATTGATGACAAATTAACGATGGCTCTCATAACAACTTTGCAGTCCAAAGTGAGAAACACTGTCTATGGCACAGGTTCCAAAACCACCGTGGTGACAACAATATTATGCTCAGAGTGAACCTCCATCACATTCTGAAGACTGAAAGGGCAATGCAAGTTTTCTAAGACACTGTTTACCCCAGCAGGATGGCTGTACAGGCATTCACAGTGTAAGCAGCTGTGCTTGCATTACTTGAATTGTAAGTGTATCTACACAGTCAGCAGCATGAACTTAAAAGTGAGCCAGACATAAGATTTTAGGGTCCATTACAGGTTTGTACAGCCTGTACAATCACAGGTGTGACACTTAGACAGAACTGCTATTTTTACCCATATCATGTACATTAAAACTAGAAGTCACAACTTCAGTCACATCTGCACTGACCAAATATACCCCAAAAGGTACATGAATGCAGTTTCTTAAAACTTTACACTAGAATTGTTAAAAGTATGCCTTTTCCCTCATTTCTTTAGAGATTTTTTATTTATTTTACCTGTACTTCACATGCTATCAATAAGCTCCACATATATTCCAAGTGGACTGCTTATTCTAAACAAGGCATTATGTGAACAGAATTTTGTACTTCGTACCACCTGTTGCTGAATCACAAAGACCTATGCTCCCTTACCAAAACACTTTTAGAACCCAAATATTATTTCTCCTACCTATCTCCTACCTTGTCCTCCTCCCCACTCTACCCTTAGCCCCTGCCCCTGTGTCTTCACCACTAACTGGGAAAAAAGAGGCAGCAAGTATCATTTCAGGTTCCAGTGTCTGTACTAGGTAGTACGATGCATGTTGCTGTATGATGAGGAGCTAGCAGATTAGACAGGTGGTGAATTCATGCTATACCTCCTACCTCCCTTAAGGCAATTCTTTGGATTATATCTTACTACAAGGATAATAAGGACAATTAATTGAAGTGAAAACCAGTTTATTTTATGAGCAGCCTTATTCCATAAGATTTGTGATCAAACTAACTGAACTTGTACACGGTGATGAAGAGCTGGAGATTGTGGTTTACCCTCAAGTGTGTTGCAGAGATGATGTCCAGTATAGCACAACTTTTAACAAAAAACTGCCTTTCTGCCCTAGGGGCAAGCTTCTGTGAATACAATTTAAGATCTGGCCTGATACCAGCTTAATGAAGCTCTATAATTTATCAGATCTTCGGTGCAGATTTTGGTGAGCACTGTCTGTGCCTAATGCACCAAGATTTCTTTTTTGTAGTGAAGAATCCAAAAATACAAAACAGTTATTCCAGTAAAAGATGACACTGATGTTCTTCCAAACTGAATTTCAATAGAGATAATGTTTAAGAACATGCATGCAGACCTAAAGAAGTCCTGGAAATGTTACAGTACTTTGTGCACTTCCCAGCATTTTAATTATTCATTTGTGTTAAATCTCCTCTTTAATTGATCTACATTTTTTCTGAACTCTTCCAAAGAGTAAGGAAACTGCATAGAAAAAATTTGTCTCAAAAAAGCATTTGCTGGACAGGGGTTAAATCCAAATCATTATACCCAAGTACGTAAAAACTTTTCTTAGCTCCCAGTATTAAGCTGGCATGTGAACTACGTTTCTTTTCAGTAGCTTGACTAGAGTGCACAGAGGCAATCATTATACTGTTTGCAAAGCATGAAGCTAAGCATTGTTAACTTTGCTTTCTAGCTACTATTTTTTGCTTTTAGATATCCAGTTGTGATGACGTGCCAAACTAGCTGTTCTACCTGAAACAAACAAAACCCCTGCCTCTTACACGGTACTTTGGTAATCTGATCTAAGATGTGCGGTTGTCTGGTCAAACCACAAAGCTTCAGTAACATCTATTATTATAGAGCTTTAACAGTAGGCTGTGCTATATCCAGTTAAATATTTACTATAAGTTAATGCTTGCAGATAATTCTGACCTTCAAACAGAAACATTAAGGAATATAAATGAGCAATAGCATAACTAAACTGCTGTTTAAAGAACACTGCAATGAACCTGTTTCTAAAGGACTGCCATACCACGCTGTTCTATTAATTGCTATCAAATGGGACTAAAAAGTCACAGCCCTTGAGTAGGTTCAACAAGATCCAGAACTAATGCCATGTACTGGAATCCCTATTTCTCTTCCATCCTTTCATATATTTAACAAGGATTTTTATTCTTAAATTTAAACGTATGTATATGTGTGCACATACACATCTCCACACACCCACACGTGTGTGGCGTATGTGCATGTGCACACATGGCAGGATGTGGGCATGGGTGTGCATGTAGAGTGGATGGTGCATCCAGTCAAACTCTGAACATTCCTAAGTAAACTCTACTTCTTACTCTGAGCTACCTTCTTTTCTGTAAATGACAGTACAGGATATGTGATAGAGGTACAACATACTCTTTAAAAAGAGATGCTCCCAAAGTCTTATGGTAACAAGTTTCCTTCATTATACAGAATATTTTGTTTGTGCCATGTTTTTCCAAAGATTTTCACCTGGCCTTCTCTGTTGTTTGTTCACTTATACCAAACCCAACAACTAATAGTTTTAGAAAACTGTTAAAAAACTTTATTTCATCTCTTCAACCCTGTCCTCTGTCCCCAGTCACAACAAATAATTATTTGAACAGAAAAATCATGCCTAGAGTGAATTTTGTGAAGAGGTCTCCAAGCTCTGTGTTTACAGACACACTGTTACATGAGCTAGGAGCTTTCTCTGTCTTGACTGACAGTTTCCACATATGAAAACGTCAGAGCTGAAATTGCAGAAGGTTTCAGTACCATATGAACTGCATTAGAGCCAAACTTGAAGGATATATAGTTGGTGTCAAAAAAGGGAAGAGCATGACAACGCAATCAAGTCACTTCAATGCATCAGCATGCTGATTATTTGTCTTATGGCTCAGACAAGGCCTCTGGAAGAAACCAATAACCACTTTTCATCTTAGTCCTAGGAGTCTTTTGAGAAACAATACACTGCAAACCAGTTGGCAGTGCATCAGTAAAGCATGTTAAGTAAGATCCCATAAATAACCTTCCACAGACCACTATTCTAGGAGACATGCATTTGAAACATGAACAAAATTAAGCACTTAATATATGACAGAATATGAGTACAGCAGTCTAGAAAGTTATATGCATATGTACATCACAGTACTTACACTGTCAGGCCCCTGGCACCGACTACAAGCCAGTGGGTATCTGTAATAAGGGACTACCTTATTACAGTAAGCAAAATAGTAACAATTAACATAAAAAAATGTTCTCAAGCACTTAAGTCCTTTAGTGAAATAATGGCATGCCTGTGGGACACAGGAGTATTATATAATCTCACCATCCAGTTCTAATCTACAACAAAAAGGCACAATTTTTGAAAGGAACAAGCTCATGTAGGGACTGAAAATTTAAGGGAATAGCTGGACTGGGAAACAGACAGATTTGCCATTATGACCACCTTGCCTTTCTAGTCTCTCTTTCTTGAGGAATTTTTCTTGCAGCACTCCAGTCTTGTGAGTGGTTCCACCATCTCTTTATAATCCCCAAGAGGCCATACACTGCTGCTGCACATGGACTTCTAATTCCCTCTTCCTCTCCTTTGCTGTATTCAGGTGTCAGGTCACTTTCACAGGTCACAAAATGCAAAATGCAAAATCCTCTCTAATCCTCATGCTTTCATTTTCTTCAGGTTACGATCACTCTGTGCTGATACCTGTCATTTAAAACGCTCCTCGCTAAGTTAGCAAGCCTGTTGGCAAAGATGCTCTTACCCTACTTTATCAGATGAATCCTGCGCCTGCCTCACAGTGCCCCATGGCTTAAAAAGGACTTTGTGGTTGTAAAAGACTAAGCCCTTCTTGTGACACCAGCTATGCAGCCAAGCGTTGACTTGATGCAGATGTCTCTTCCTCTCTGAACCCTTCTCCTCCACTGTCAGGATCAAGGAAAACACCTGGGCCCCCAGTGCCATGTAGCCATGCCTGATATATTCATGATCACCTCTTTCAGTAACATAAGAACCCATACGGGTAAGTGAGAAAAGGAAGTGTTCTGAATCTGAACAAACCTTATAAATTTCTCCACAGCCTCCGGGACCTCAACTCAAGGGAGGCAACAAAACCATCCAAGATAGGAAAGTGCGTTAGCAGACAGATACTTAGAGAGGGAATGCAATACGAGGCAGTCTCCAGTGATAATGCACATTTTTCTTTTGGCGCAGACACTTGATTCAGGCTCGGCTGATTCTGACACCTCCCCTGACTGAGCTTGGTGTTGCTCATCCAATTCCAGGGCACTAAACCTGTTCTCTAGCTCCAAGTTGTCTTGCCAGATGTCTTAGGTTTCCACCTTTTCCCATCACGAGAATCTTTACCCTTATTCTCTACTGCTTGAAACACAGTCTCAAACTGTCCCTCCTCCTTCCTTGGACTGTGGGATTTGGGCTCTCACCTCTGAGGGCTATCTGTAAAGACCTGTCAATCTTGCATTCACGATCCTAGATGGTGCATAGACTGCTCATCTTTTTCTGCAACTCCTTCCCCTCAGTACCTCAAAGAGAATACATCTTCCACAGATGACACCACCATCACCCTCAGCCCCAGGAAGAGGCAGCAGGCATTCCCTGAAGCCAAGACCTAGAAGGCAACATCCTCTTTAGTGCTATTGCGGTTGCCAAGGACATGTGCAAAGGACAGCTGCTCCAGGAACTGTCCCTGCGAAATGTCACCATTGTCACTGTACAGCAGTACCTCAGCATCCACAGCAGAGCTTCAGAGCCCCTTTGCACCCCTGCATGTTTCTGTTAGCTGCATTCTGGGAGCTGTCAGCTTCAATGAAAACAGAGTGTTCCAGTTCTTCCAACAGAACTTTTGAAAATACACAAATTTCCTACAATGCTTACCAGGCTAACTTTATGATGCAATTTTATATGATGTTATGGCACAAGACTGTATAGATTTATGATTTAGAAACGTACAGGCACCGAGAATTAGCAAGATTTCCCTCTGGAAACAGAATCTTTCTATGTCTGGTATCAGACCACTCAGAACACAACCAGGAGTTAATTGCTATGATTTGGACAAGTGGGATAACTTTGCAGTCATTTTTTGAGGCAAAAGGGCTTCTCCCATGTATAAATATACTTGCCTACTGTATTCAGTCCACCTTAGAAAATACAGATCAAAGAATATAACTGAGATAGTCAGGAATGTACTTCACAGTTTATTGACTTATGACAGTGTGTATCTTAGAGAAATCCCAATATCAAATCGCACTTTTTTAGGACTTTTAATCAGTTTTAAGATTCTCAGCAGTATCAGATATACTGGGCAGCCAGAGGAACTCGCAGAAGTTTCTGTGCATTTTCAACACAGTTTATGAAACATCTGATGGTGACATTAACTGCACTTCAGTATGTCCTCTCTAGAACAGTTTTCTATTGCAAGCCACATTAAAACAGATTATCTTTCTATTTTTATCCAATTAAAAATAAAATACTCTACCTTACAGTAAAATCATAGGAGCAAGAGGCCAATAAGGTTGCATGGAACGGTGAAAACTGCAAGAAAACAAATCAACTTTAAAAGTAAAAACATTATGAACATATACAGACTTACTGTAAGCAGAAAGTTATCAAACTTCAACTATTTAAACAGTCTTGGTAGGCACCACATCATGCTGCAACAAAACAGACTACATCAACAAATTTCTCTACCATGCCTCTAATTACAAGAAACCACAGAATCGTAGAATTAATAATCACAAGGAATGCTCTGTGAGATCCTAGTTTGTTTTGATTTCATTACAGCAGTGCCAAATAACCCTGCTGTGAATTTAAAAAGTTCTAGAACAGTCATATAAAAAGTTACGAAATTCTGCTTTTGGCTGAGTATCATCTCATTATATAAATCAAGTTTCAAAACAGTTATGTGACCAGCTAATTATTTTCAGAGAGATAAAATCCATGCCATACTGCAGAGAACATAAGATAGATTATTGTCATCAATTCCATATCCTAAAATTTTGAAATTGTTTATAGGAATGGGAAAATTGGAAATGAGTGGAAAAACTGAAGGCAGTATAACGTCACTTCATGATTTTCCTCTCTTCTGTGGGCATTTTACAGGACACACTCTTCTATGGACTCTTGCACACTGGTCTGAGAACTGTAGCAATAAGGATGCAGTTATGCAAAAATTTTTCACCTCAGTTCCAGCTTTTGGGTAACCCTCCATTCCCAACTATTTTAAGATCTATATTTCTCAACAGGAAATACACAAGCAACTGACATAACTCGAGTCTGAAATGCAGGTATCCCAAATCATGGTAAGTCTACCTGCAAGACTTCTAGTATTATTCACAGCAACTACAGAGTCAAAAGTTAAGTCTGGGCTATTGCTACAACTGCCCAAGTTGCCAAGAAATCAATGTATGTTAATGGCTACTGAACTCTGCTGAACTCCCTTTACTGTAGCAGAACTGAGGGATGTGCATGCTTGAACTTTAACTTCCATTTTTCTGGAGGAAAAACAAAACAAAGTATCTTTTTCTTCTGCACCTAACAAAAAAAGAATAATAAAGGGGAACAAGTGTGATGAGCAACAAAAAACAACGGTACACTTTTCATAAACCCCCTTTGCATCTTTGTTCTCACAGTTTCAGATAAAGCAAAAACATCTTGTCAAAGGCTTTTCATTACCCTTAAATATCCTGGAAGGTTATGTAAGAGGCAAAATACTTAGGAGAGCACTACACACAAGTTGAAAGGATATGCATGTCTTTCTGTACAAGGAAGATAATATTTCAGAATTCTGTTCCATTTAACTGTAAGATACTACAATTTTATTATGTGAACAGTTGTATATAGACAGAAGACATAAGCATATCATCCATCCAGATCTCCAACAGATCATTTATCCAAATATCTTTTTAGGTAAAATCAAAAACCATAACTAGGTTTCAGTGTAAGATATGGCAGCCAGTTAAGAATGTGAGAGTCAAATGCACCAATATCCAAGTCTCCTGAAAAGGGCTCCAAATGATGTCAGTGTGCTGATAAGGCCCCGCACCGCACTGAAAGACCACAAGAAATCTGCAGGAATCCCGACAGTATCAAGTTGAGTAGAGTTCCTTGCCAGCCTCAGATCTGAAAATCCCTGAACAAGTGATCAGAACACAAAAGACAGACAACTGAAGAGTTTGATTTCATGGTTGGTTTAAGCTAATTTAGGAGTTCACTGCTGCCAAGGCTCGTGGCTTACATTTTCCTTTCCACTTCAGGTTGTTTGCTCCTGCTCTCCTCCTTTGTGTCAAGGCTTTCAATTTGTGTGGTTGAGCAATAAACTGAGACAGTTAGTGATCCAGACAGAAACTAGTCACTTTTAGGGACAGGATTTTCAGACAGAGCCATCAGGTGAGCCAGCCTGCTGCACAGCTTTATAATTGCTAGTGCCAGCACAATGGAGGGGAAGGGATATCAGTAGGGCGAGCTGCCTCTATTTAGGCAGTATCCAGCTCTCTCTGCACACCTCTAAGTGCTGGCTCACATTTTCATATGTTATGTCCACAACAGCCATGTCTACCTCGAAACGGAAGCAATAAAAGCCTGCTAAGATGGAACAGAAGTCAGGTACGCTCACATACCTCTCTGCTGAACGTGGATGCATGTACAGCCTCCCCACCATCTCCTTAAAGCCACTTGGTGGCTTAGATCTCAGAGGCTGGTGCAAAGAAACATCTACTGCTGGCCAACTTCTAATAACAATTTCAAGGCATTTTAAGAAAACAAGGTGCATGATGGACCATAAAATGGAATAGGACAGTATAAGAATATATAGGATTACCCCACTTGATGAGGCTGACAATCTTTGAGCTCAGTGCTCTATGTTTACATGGCATTTTCAGTATTTTAGTTTGTACCAGTCACCTCTGGGCCAGTCAGGCTTTGTCTTCTTTATTTCCCCCAGACATCCATATACAGTGGTAATATCCTTTAAGCCTTGCCTTCTTCACATTAAAAAAAATCTCAGCTCTCTCAGCTTTTCCTGGTAGGACAGAGGTTTCAGTCTCTTAAACTTCTTACGGCCCTTTGCTGAATTTACTCCAGCATGTCTGTGTCTCTCTCCCTTTTACTGGAAATCCCAAAATTGGACCATACATGGTCTCACTGGTGTGGTGAGTAGCAGGGAAGGATCACTGCCCCCAGCCTGCTGGCATCACTCTTCCTAAGGCAGCCCACGATGAAATAAAGTAGAGAAATTAAGAGGTGCTATCCCTGTCTAGCTCTTCTAGTATCTATTTATCAACCAGCTGCTATCCATGAAACTGACAACACTGCCTGCCTATGCTGCCTCTTGTGCAGAGAGTTAATTCAACAAGTCTACTGCCTGATGTGTAAGAGAAGTACTCCCATATGTTTGTAAACACATTTCCAAAGTCTAATTAAGTGTTCTTTAGTTCTATTATCCCAGGTGAGGGTGAATAGCAATTCTGCATTAAATTTCTTTAATTTATAATGAAGACAATGTGCTGTGAATCCCTTAGTGGAAGAGCTGTTTTTAAAGGATGCCACTAACTGTCAGAGAGTAAGAACACAACAGTCTGTGTTGATTCATTTGTCTTAATGGCTGTCAAACTGGAGTTGCAAAATTATCTTGTTTAAAAAACAAGAAGAAATAAACAAACTCAAACAGCACTGCTAAATGTTCTTCTGCTACGATGAACCTTTCATAGAGCCAGATTAGAGTGTGGTCATGCAGGCATTAAATTAGAAAAAAAGACTGAGCATCAACCACAAGTTGGGATAGCACGCTGTGGTAGCTGGGATAAGGAGAGGCAGGAGCTTCTGAGGTTGTCTGACTACAAACAGGATTTGTGATACAGAATGACTACCTGTGTCATATCCTTTTCTGACAAATTACAAACTAAGCACAGTAACTTCTAAAGTTCTTAGAAACATATTAAAGATTCCAAGGCCATGTGAAGAAAAATACTGACTCAGGATAACTTTTTTTCCAGTTCAGACTTCCTAGAAAATGTTAATAATACCTATTCCAGAAGGGCTTTAAAAGGATCAGGTGTTATCTCCCTTTTCAGGAGACTTCAGTATTGGTGCATTTGACTCTCACATTCTTAGCTGGCTTCAGTATCTTACATGGAAACACAGTTATAGTTTTTGAGTTTACCCAAAAAGATATTTGGGTACATATTTTCACATAATATTTAAAAAAAGCCATTGTGCATCAGAAGAAATTCCTATTGATGGGTGATGTACACAGATCCAGTATAGTCATCTGTAGCCTTTCGTGCTAGAGGTTCAAAATCTCTTACTAATATTTTCTTTGTATACAGAAAAATATGTATTCAGAGCAAGTTCTATACTTTGTCTTCTGTGAATATTGATCCTTTGTGTGGAAAAACAAAGTCAAAGCATAATTTAAAAATGAGTAAGGGAAAATATTTTCTCTGTCTCCAATTTCTCATATAACTTAGCTGAAGCAAAACCCCTAACTCTCTCTCAAGCCGTCTAACACTCCTTGTGGAAATATATTGACTTTGAAGATGTCATCTACTTCAAAATCCCAGCAATCTACTAAACATCATAATGTTTTGCAGTGCATAAAAGAAAGTTTTCAAGAACAGTCACTGTAACATCTAAAATCCTGTGTTTTTTCCTAGTTACTAGATAATATAAAATACCACTGCTTTCCAGAAAAAATTGTGTAACAATTCAGTGATGGTCAATAGGAAAAAAAATACAACTTACTTTTACTCTTCTGATAGCATAGGTATGACCCAGCAAGACGAACACTGGTTGCCGGATGTTCCGCAAATCCCAGCCTTTTAAGCTACAGTCAACTGCACCAGTTACCAGCAAGTTCTGATGATTTGATAAAACACAGATGTATCAGGACAATTTAATTACCAGATGGCAGTGATGCATATGTTGACTACAAAAGTTAGATAAATCAAACAATACAGATGAATAAATCATAAATGAGGTCAGGTCTCCAGTGTGAACGTTAAAGAAAACAGAGAAATACAAACTGGTTCTCCACTACAGGCTATTCTGACCACTATACAAAAGAATAAGCAAAATCTCTGACCTACTTAGGCTGCCTATCCATTGGAACAAATCTCCTCTGGAGATGTAATAGTGAATGATAGGAACAAAGCACCTAGACATATTTTTATAAAGAGAAGATGTAATATTGTTGCAGCAGAAACCCCTCCTATTTAATGAGAGTGGTTCAATTAGGAAAAAAGTGGGATGAACAGTTCTATACCTCATCATATTTGCACCAGTCACAGCTCAAGATCTCAGCCTGGTGGGCAGGTATCACAAGTTTGACTCCTGGGGCTTTCACATCCCAAATTCTTAAAGTCTGATCACCTGAAACATAGAGAAATTGATTCAATGTTGTTGCATCAGTTATGGGATACAATTAATCCATTAGTACTTAGTAGACAACTGTTTCTTAGCTGCATGAAATACAAATGACTATATGCGGACACTCATGCCAAATAAAGCAAGCACATTATAGACACAGAAGTTGGAGTGATGCAAAAAAAGGTATCCAAACTTACTACTCTCTTTCATTAGAAAAAACTCCCACAACTTCACTTTATTACTAACACTCCTATTATTTTTGAAAGTCTGATTTGATTAAAAGAAGATGGGGTAAAATATTTAAATAACATTTAATTGAACTAGAAGCTTAAGGTCCATTTAAAAATAGGTTTAATAGTTCAGAATCACAAAAAAACTATTTGCGAACCAGCTGAGAAGTTATGCCTAGTCACATGCTTTTGGCACAAAGAAAAGTAAACTGTATCTGAAATATCAAGATTTTTCCAATAAAGGAAAATTTAAGATGCATCACCTGTACTCATCATATATAAAGACTGCGGTTACTCTCATTTATTGAAATACTGGAAGATAAAGTAATTCTACTGTTACAGATATGAAAGGCAACATGTGCTGTAACCTTGA